TGATGACCCGTCTTGTCTGTGGAATGCAATGCGACAAATTTAAAATGACCGCCACATCCGCGGGTTGGCGGATGATGTTCACGCTGTTTCACGCGTTCGGGTAATAACGATAGGTAGTAATTCTGGTTAAAGTACGTAGGTAGGTCTAGTGAATATGAAGTCAGATTCAGAGAGGCCGTTCACAAGGCGCGGTCGTGAACCAATGCAATTATTTCATGTTTTGTATGCTATCCATCATCCGTCTACTTACAGCGCTTCCATAATAGAAACTGCAATGCGTTCGAATTTTAAATTTGTTTATTTTTCTTAGTGAATTGTTGAAGACAATAAAAAAGAAATTGCATTGAAGATTGCCAGGCTTGCCTCACTTCGAAGAAAAAATATTTGTATGAATTCCAAGCAACCAGCTGAATTTAAAAAATTTTCACTACTATCTGTATCCTACACGACCACATGAATTAGTATACAATGTTATCCTATGTTCTAAGTTGAGAATAAACAATCCATATACCAAATTTATATCAAACACATTGATTCGTTTTTGTGGGAAAGAATAACAAACATACATACATCCTTATCTTTTGCGTTTAAAGAAGTACGTACACTATAAAGTAGCTATGTGTTTTATGATATCAACGTACAATGTATACCGATATTTTGGACAAGCATATTATATACAGTTGCACAACACTGTATGAATATTCATTTGTGTTGTTGCTTCTAAATGGTTGTATAATTTCATTTCCAGTTTCGTCTATATAGGGGCAATGCCGACTCTTAAATAACACAGTAATTATTTGCTCAGTGAACACCGCCTAGTAAACATATGCGATGTCAAATTAATCCATTGTCTATTATTATTTTTACATCGTACATATATAAATGATGTAATAATTTATCTAAACTTACGCAAGCGTTTGTAATATTTAATGTTACGTTATAGAGAACATATGATAGTACGTGGTGTGAATGAAAGATAATGGCACTCTGGCCTTGTTTATGTTATTATAAACATTTTTGCGAATAATTTTTATCACTTTCTTGCCTTAGGTAAGTGCTGATTATGACTAATGGCATGCCATTAATTAAATATAATTAACGTACAAAAAATGACATGAATTCCGCATTCTAAATTCAAATATTTTCAATGTGTGTACGGAACGTTTCGTTGTTTATCGATGAGTTTTCATAATTGAAGTAGCTATATTTTTGAGGAGTCAAAGTTACTGGCCTATTTAAACATTTTGCTCTATAAAAAAGCGATTTCAATCGTGAACAGACTTACTGATAAACGAGATATGTAGTAGATACGTTACATTGAAAATATTTGAAGTTAGAATATTTAACAGCGTGTTTACAAGGAAAAACGACAGCTTTAATATTTACAGAAATAATTATTACAGAAGTAATTCTTATTTATAAAAAAAAAAAATCAGTTGTATTTTGCGAATAAACGCATAATATACATAGTTAAAGCAATTATGTTCCACAAAAAAAAAAAAACAGACAGCAATCATAGCAAAACCATTTATTTTGATTTAAAAAGTAATAAACTACTTAACCGATTTTAAAAAAAATTCTATAGGGTTTAACTGTAAGTATATCCTTTGAGATAAAAAAGAATGTTCAAAATCGGTTCACAACTGACGGAGTTATGCGGTAAGAAAACATAAAAAAAAAAAACAACCAAATTGAGAATGTTCTTTTTAAAGTCAAACATAACTTCCACGTACATAATAAGTAAGTAAGTACGTACCCGTTTGTCAACATAATTATTAATTTAATTATAACTTCCGCTTACTGTGGTTCTAGTTAACAAATTCAATAGATACCTACTAGTGAAGTAGGCGTAATTATGTTAATTCGGTTAAATTATACGGAATGTTTCTACTTAGTAAGAAAACTATGTGATGTGACCACAGATACAACAGATGTAGTTAAATTACGTAATTAACCTCAATCTACTTTTATCAATAATTTAATATTGTCTTTTACCCGCGACTTCGTCTGCGCGAGTGGAATATAATGATTTTTTTAATAGGTGATAATGAAATGGTAACCCCGCCTGCGCTATCGGTATACGCTGGCGGGGCACCAGTGAAAGATCATAGGCGAGGATAGAACAAGTCAGTAAGCCCATCGTAATGAATTCCATGAGAATTAACCACGATGGCTTCCAGGAGAAACCGCGTGGAGGTCTACCTGATGGAGTACATTGTTAGCAATGGGGCTGTTAGATCCCATTACTAACAATCCCTTTCCCCCCAATCAGAAGTATTGAAGATTATTAAATTGTTTTTAATATTGACAGATATTTCCGATTTTTCAATAAATGCTCTTAAAAGCAATTGTATGGAAGGGTAAATAGGTAAACATTTACCTTCTTATTTATAAAATCGTCAAATCTCTCATAAACCTATTTTAGCTATTGATCTATTCTGTCCCTTTCTTTTGTGCTTAATTCTCAATTGAAAAGAAAGTGACAAAGCAGTGCAATAACGAAAATAGGTTTGTAGATTTTAGTTTTTATGAATAACAGATTTAGTGGATTACCCTGATAACAAAGTGACGTCATTAACTACATAGAATGTCATTTTTTAGTCATTACTCAGTCGCTGCCCTAAAATTACTAAAAAATATTATCTAGTTAAGCTAATAAGACGTCAAACTTTTGTCATTTTATGGTATTTGTCCTTATTTGATTATTAATGACGAAACACAACTTTAAGACGTCAATACTTGGTCATGTTCCGATCCCAACCCTTAAATAACTAATATTGTTGAAATGGGCATTATAAATAATAATAACTTTATTCCCTTAAACAAAATGAGCCTGTAATACAATATAACTATGACCCCACACTAGGCAAAGCCTGTCTCGTGGAAGTCAAAGCTAGAAATTTAACAGTTATAGTGTGGCGAACAGGGTTAATTTAAATATGTGATGTCATTAATAAATTACGTCATTATTTGTTAAAAATTACGTATTTTTACAGTCGCAGTTCTAATATATTTAAGAATGACAAAACAAGTCTTTAAATAATAGTTCATTTGGATTTATGATTATGGCTTTAAAATAAGTGAAATTTATAAACTGGACCTGTAAAACGACGTCATTCTTTGGTCATTTTATGGTCTAAACCTTATCTAACTAAAAATGACGGATTGCGATGTTATTACTTGGTTATTTTACGATATGTCATGCAAAAATTATAAAAAAAAAAACAACGAACTGTGTCTCTGTGAAGAAATCACTAATTAGTCATTTTACGGTCGCGATGTCGACTCTAATATGACTTAAAAGTAATGTTCTTTTAAATTAGATTATAAAACAGTTTAGCCTTGAACGTCGCAATGCAACCTAGGTCTTTTAATTATGTATTACGTCTATCATAGAGAGAAGAGAAAAAAAAAAAACAAGTTTTATTAGACTATTGTTTGACTGAATCGTTTTTTTTTATACCATAAAGTTGACAAACAAGCCTACAACCTATCTGACGGTAAACAGTAACTGTAGCCTATGGACACCTGCGACACTAGATATCAATTTAATTGTTTGAAGTTTCACGAAAAAATATTTTAAGGAGGAGATGGGGTTTTCTCCATATTTCGCAGATAAGGTGGGGGGGGGGGGGTCTAAATAAAATAATGACAAGTGCATAACATGGACGTCTCTTTTTATAATTAAACTAGCTGAACCATTGCAAATGTTGTTCTACCATAAAAATTATTTTTCTGGGTAAAGAACCCTAATCACCTAGCGGTATGAAATATACTTTACGACCTTTTCTCATACCTACCAAATATACATAAAAAAAAATTATAAAAATCTGTTTTGCTCAAATTTTGATCACAAACACTAACACGATACATATATAAGATTTGTCGTCCTTAATTAATATTAATTATCTATTCATTTTATTTGTGTACATATTTTTAATCTTTATAATCTGTATCATTCTTTGAAGAGAACAAGAAAGAGTTTTCATTCATTCATTCATTTGTGCAAGTAGAAAAGTGATAAAAAATTAAGAAAAAAAAGTTCTAAAAACTATTAATCAGTAGTATTATAGAACACAGTACCTTTGGAGAGTAGGTATACATAATTTTAATATTCCGTTAAAAGATATTTAAATGACAATAAAACCCGTATCAAATTCTGTAGCGTTAGAAAAGAAAAAATAAATTCGAAGATTAACTTTGTTTCATAATATTTAGAGATAATAAAACAATGCAACTTTTGTTAGATAAGTAAATAAATAATAATAGATAAATAAATAAATAATAACTGATCTTATGCCGTCAGACAATTCTTTAGTGTTTTTTTTTATTTATAGACAGGAAAATATGTATACAGCTTTATGTTTATTTAGTTTGTATTATGTGACAGTATTTTAAAAATTAAGCCATTGCCAAATCAATCAAGCATATGGTTCGGCTGATGGCTAATGATAAATAACCGGTTAATTATCGTGATAGTGACCACTTCGGTGGATATTTTACATTCCTATTTGCTTAATAACGAGCGTACAGGCCTTTTATAAAGCAAAAATAATGAGTATAAAATCCATAGACTAACAATAAATAATTGATGAAGTGATATTTGGCGTGATTTACGCTAGCGGTATAAATTACGTATAACTACACGCACCCTGCGTTCTATAAATAGACATGGAATGATTTGAAAGCGGTCTATTGCACTCACTAAATAAAACTAAGGATTTATAGGTGAATTAACAATCGCAAATTGTAAGCACGTACCTTGAATAGAGATCACACACACTATAAAATTGAAAAGTCATCGGCTACTTTCACAGAACGTTACAAGTAGACACAAGAGAGCAAGGTTTAACAGGGGTTAGCAGCTAGCCGCCACTAAAATTATTGATTTCGCAGTTACAAAACAACAAAAGATATAAAACGAGCCGACTGCACACCCCCGCGCACCGAATCGATCAAATGATAATTGTCGCGCACAAAGACTTCACTACACTACTCACCTAGGCGGCCGGAATGCACACAGCCAGCACACACATAAAACAACAACACACACAATTTATGTCAACAATGTTTTGCAATCACGGCTTTGTACACACGTTAATCACAGTTTTTACACTTGTGCAATAGTTTTTATATTGTTTTTGTTGTATTTAAAGGTTAATTAGTGCGAATTAAAAGCGATTTGTGGCAGAGACGCAAGCATTTCAACGACCACTAGCAAGATGGCTCCGATCCGCGTCCGCGTATGCCGCGCGGTCGCTCCCCCGCGCGCCGCGTACGTGCAATGAAAGATAGGTGGCGGCCGCACAAGAGAGACGGGGAACGGTGATCCGTCTAGAGATATATCCGGTTATCGGTCTGTGTCAATCATTTATTTTAATGTAGTAACTAGCAATGCGCGAACCCGAACGATTTTGTTATTCGAATAATTAATAAATAATTCGACTATTAAATCAGTAAGATATTTATTTCTATATTCGAATGATTTTACTAATTAGTAACTAATGACGACAAAGTCCTTTCTCTAGAATCTGAATACTATGTTCGTGTCGACTCGTACATCAACGGCTATTAATGAATGATATTAGTAGTCGGACGACTACTAAATCATTCGAATAATTTGCTCAGTCATATATTTAGTAGTCGGATTAATAAAATCGCGTAAAGCAAAAAAGATTTCGATTCATTCGCACGTATATTAAAAATGCTAGACTTTTAATTCCGACACAATTTAGTATATTTTAATATTATTAATTTTACACTACCTGTTGTCGAGTAGAATCAATATTCTACTTGAATAAATAATTAATAATAATTTTCGGGGCTGTCAATTATTTATCAATGTTTCTTTTAAATTTCAAATTTATAGAATCGATAATAAAAATTATCTTTAAAAAATATTTTTTCTCTTGAATGTTTTCCGTAAATGCACATATTCATCAATGATAATAAGTATACTTAGTTAAATTTCAGAATCCAAACTTTGTTTATTCTAAACTTATTATTTTTATAATAAAAAACTTATAACGTCAAATGTTTGATTGAAGATTCTTTTTCTGGTATTATATTATAAATGTGAACATTTGTAAAGATATTTAGATGTTTGTATTGTATGTTTGTTATCTAATTACGCTTAAATAGAGAGGGAGACTTTATACAAAAGTCGATTGCTTGAGTACCTCTGTCCCATTCGTGTTTCAAGGATGGGATATGGCGTAAATTTATTGGCTACGGAGGAATAACACTTGAGTCCTCAGGAATGGCAACGCATGGGGGGGGTATCATGGTCGAAACAGTATACTCTATTATGTCCATGGTACTGCTCATGTCTATAGGCGATGGTTACCACTTTCCATCAGGTGGGCCGTCAGCTTGTTTGTTATTCTAAGTTGTATAAAAAAAAAATAGCTGATTAGATTTTAATGAAATTTGGTAAACGAGTAGGTTGTATCTTTATACAATATCTTTTACTGCAGAAAAGTACTAATAGATAATATTATAAAATTTTCATACGTGTTTATATTAAATTTATTAGTTTTATAAAAAATATAAAAAGTACTCTTAATACACCTTTTTTTGTAATCTATATGCGATATTTTCGCTAATTGTAAATCCATTTTTATAATTGCTATGCAATCGATCGTGTAAATACGATCTCATGCTGATTCTATATTTATATTCGTAATATTTAAGTATTTGATATCTTTTTGTGGCGTAAAATTTGATGTTTTGCCTTTTGTATCACTTCTCATTAATATTTACTGTATTTGTTATTTCTCTTTTTACTTGATGCAATAAAGTATAAATAAATAAATAAAAATAAATATTTTATCAACATTATAAATACAAAAGTAAGTTTGTGTAATAAACAAACGAACTTACTTCAGCGTCTTAATGGCTGAACTAAGTATAATGAATTTTGTATATAGAAGGTATTTTAGATGGAAAAGGTCTTTATAGTTAAGTAGAACAATTTGCGAGTAAACGTTGGTAATATAATAATCTTATCATAGTATGTCAGTCATTCTCTTACGCAATCGACACAATCTCGAGATATATCCCGCGATTACAAACCCTGTAGCTCACTCCTCAGTTCTTTCCCTTCACACCGCTTTGCCCGTGCGGAGATCACCCCCCGTCCCGCACCGCTGTCCTCTGCCTACCGACCTCTTATATACGTACTGCTCTCTTTACAACAAAAAAACACCAATTTCCCAAATTCTCGAAGCGGGCCGAGCCCGCTCGCGGCAGACCTAAGATGGCCGACGGACGGCTCACGGCTTCCATTTTGATTGCAGATTACGGTCGCGCGTCCCTCCACCGTTCAAAGCCTAACCGATGCCGCGTCCTGCCGCTATAACTCGCTACATAAACGTATTGCACACGTTTTTAGGTTAATTTTTCCCGTTCTATGCGACGGTGATGTCGTCTCCCGCGTAAAAAGCTGTATGTGCGGCATGTGTCGCTAAAATGGCGGGTGTAATGTCGAATTTCGATGTCGCCAGTTTTGATCCGTTCATTGTATCGATTTGTCGGCCGCCCGGAGTTGAAAGAAAGTCCACGCGGAGTCTAATGTCCGTGTTAAAATGTAGCCGAGTTCAAGCAATGGTTTTGTCTCTTTCGGGCCCCGCATCTCGTACCTACCTGTACTGCATAAACCGATGTTAGTTAAATGTAGCTCTCGCGTCTCGCGATTGAAAATGGAATGAAAGAGCATAAATTTAGTCTATGCGTTCTAACCAGCCAGTACGTACGTTATTGCCAGTAACATTATCGTCGTTTGCCACTAATATGGCTGTATGGATGTTATAAATGTATGTCATTGTCTGACATTCAGCTATCGACGACTATTTTCGTGTATATCTACTGTACATTAGATATTTGCACGACTTTTATTATCCAGGCTTAAATAGAGGCCATTGGTTGAACGCTAAACAGTTTCTATTCTGCCTAGTCCATAAAGAACCTAGCGAGAAGATACTTCAAGATAACTTGAGTATCACATATTGGGACTTTATTATTGAACACATAGACCGATAATTCATGAGATGTCTATTACACATTGGCTTGTTTGCCATTCTAAGTTACCTACTTATAAAATCATGTGCCTATAATAAGATTTTGCTACGCAAAATGCACTTTTTTGCTCCACCAAAAAATAATTGAAATCATCATTAATATGCAATTAACACGGGAGTAAACTCTATAGAATTTACACGAATTGCAAGGGGATTGTTAGTAACGGAGTTTAATGACCCCATTGCTAGTAATATACCCTGTCAGGTTGACGTCCACGCGGTTCCTCTACGAAACCATCGTTTTTCAGTCTCGATGGGCCAACTGACCTGCTTTTCTCGCCTATCATATCTCACTGGTGCCCCACCTGCATATACCAATTGTACAGGCAGGATTAACATTCCATTCTCAAATATTAAAAAAAAAAAATTATAATGCAAAAATTATTGTGAATATCAAATCAGAATTGACAAAGTAATATAGCCAATAGCCAATAAACAAAGGAAAACTAGAAGAATAGAGAAATTTGACATGGAGTGTTCACACTAACATTTTACATAACATGTTATTATATTTAAATTAGCTTTTACACGTGGTAAAAAGTAGCGTATCTCCTTCTCCATACAATTTAATAAGTGTATACCAAATTTCATAATGCCATATTACGAAATTATTAAATTAATTAGCGGCCCGTCCCGGCTTCGCACTGGCGGACATTTTTACAACATTTTAAAAAGTGATTATTGTGACATAACGATAATAGTTGGACATATAGTATCGCGAAGTTTTTTATAGTTATAGATATTTTCTTCAATATTGTAGAACATACTTTTGTTCTATCACCAATAGTTTCCGCAGCGCACGCGATGAAAGATATTTTATAGCATTTGTTATACCTTGATTTATGTTACTAAAGTTTTAGTAAGGATCCCTAATTTTTTCTAGCAATAAATATAGCCTATGTTACTCAGGGTGAATGTAGCTTTCTAATGGTGAAAGAATTTTTTAAATCCGCAAAGTAGTTTTTGAGTTTATTTATTACAAACATACATACATACAAAAATACAAATCTTTCCTCTTTATAATATTTGAGTAGATTAAGTAAATATTAATTATCAATTAAATAATTACCACAGTAATTACCAATTCGTCATAATCCCACGATTATTGCCTCTTTCCAGTTTTTTTTTAATGGATGGTAATGAAATGGTGACCCAGCCTGCTCTAATGTTATATACTGGGGGGGACCAGAGCGGGACAATAGGTAAGAATGAAAAGGCAGGTCGGTTAGTCCATTGTGACGAATACACTTGAAATTAAACACGATGGCGTCCAGGGAGGACCACGTGGAGGTCGACCTAACAGGGTATGTTGCTAGCAATAGGACTGGTAGGCCGCATTACAAACAATCCCCCCCCCCCCCGCCTCTACCAGTTAGGATAACCTTTATTTCCAAAATCAGCCCATTCAAAAATTGAATCCGGGATCTCCTTTATCCAAATCAACGTGTGATCAGACTTTCAAAGCTATACGTGTACTGCGTAGCATTCGCATACATACATGATGTTCATTCAATTCTAGTACATTTCCATCCTTACTAGGCATGGCTAATATTGGTACCGTTCCAATATCTATGTATTTTTTTTATGGGTGAAAATGGTATGGTAACCCCGCCTGCGCTAACGGGATACGACGGCGGAGCACCAGTGAAGGGTGATAGATGAGAATGAAAACAGGCCAGTTAGTCCATCATGATGAATTCATCAGGAATTAACCATGATAGTTTCCAGGGGGTACCGCGAGGAGGTCGACCTGGTTGGGTATATTGCTAGAAATGTGATTCTCAGTCTCCATTACTAACAATCCCTTTTCCCCCAATACCTATGTATTAGGTACTTTTGGACATTAATGGCGAATAAAAGGTCATCACCCATTCCGATATCGTCCATACCGGTCGAATTTCTATATTAATTTCGATCGGTTTCTTCATTTGACATTAAATATTAGATAACAGATAATTAACATTGTGGTGATACGCAAGCGAGTTGGTTAAACACTAATTTATTCATTGAAAGTATAAATAAATACTCGTAGAACAGATTGTTACCGGCCAGTATTTACAAAATTATTAATGGCTAGTACGTGAACATACTTGTTGTTGAACTAGTATACGGATTAATGTAATCAAAAGATATTGTAATTAAAATATACAGATATTGCTATAATAAAATAAAAAAAAA